AAATTGCAGACAATTCACATTTGCTTGGGTCAGAAAATTAATATTAATAGCATTGCAGTCCACATTTCTGCTCAATAAAATTTAACACATTTTCAGCATCATCCGGAAAGGAAGCCTATATTAAAATTGATGGCAAGTCTTTATCTGCTTGCTTTTCAAAGGCATGTGACTGGGCGTGATGTAATAGCCCATAGATAATATTAAAGAAATTGTACATTCTGTCTATATATAACATAGTGTTATTCACCAGCATATCTTAATCGGTTAGTGACTTCGGGATAAAGTACGAATTCCCGCTGCCTACGATTTGCATGAATTTATCTTAAAGGCAGCAAAGAAAAACAGTACATATATTTTAACATTGGTTTCTGATGTACTCTTTACGATTTCTCACCCAGTGCGTTAATTTTCCGGCACATCGGGTCGATCCGCGTCAGACATACGCTAGAAAGGTGTAACCCACCCTAGTACGCTGATGCGGTCGGTAATATCCGTGCTCTGGGTTGGGCGACCGGCACACAGCGGTTTAAATAACATCCTTCCGCACGGCACAAAAATTGATATTGAGTTCTGCTGTAAATACCTTCAAAATAGTGCAGGCAATCTACAAATTATCACAACTGATACACTTAGAATTCAATTTTAAAAACACAAACTGCAGTTCTATAATCTCAACAAAATTATGCATTAAAATCAAAATTTTTTCAAATCTGGTCACATCTACAAGCGGCACCGTACATGCAAGGTTATAGCTGGCTAAGCACCATGTTGCTATGTATAATAATTTATGCACTATGACGCAAATCAACTGATATTTAGCCGCCACTAAAATTGTACCTAGGCACCAACCCATGTTGTAACCCCGCCTAATTTTTGCACTCAGAATTAACCGGGAGTGCCCTACAGATCTAAGCAAATGACGGCGACGATAACAATAGTGACGAATGACGACGACGACGCACGACAGAGATACAACGAGTGACGATGATGATGACGACCGATGACGATGATTGCGGCTGCAAAAATTATTAGCGTGGTAAAACAACTAGACAATTTTCTCTTCGTTTGCGATCTAGGTTCCTGGCAGTCTCACGGCGCAATTCAGCAGTCTCTTGCTCAGTTTCGCGACGTCAAGTCGCGTCCCGACCGCCGACCTTGACACGGAGAGCTGACGAGCTCCTGATCCGAAGGTTCATCAGATACGACCGACCTTGACCTGCACCGCATGAGCGTGACGGCGGCCAATGATGGGTCTCGACATCGACGACAAAGGTAGGAGTTGCACGCCGAAATTCGCTACTTTTTATTTAGTAATCTCCTATCCCGCTATATACGGGGATGAATTGGGTATGAGTGAACATGAAGATCGTTTACTTGGTGTATGCGTGGGCGCGTTATTTGTGGGCGAGGCGATGCGTCAATCCTCTCTAGTTACTGTTACTTCCGGTTGTGTAGACAAGTGCTAATAGTTACCTGCCTAGAGAGAGAGAGGACAGCACACTAACCTAATGATAGGTAATTGCCAGGCATTATTTTCCAACGTCTCCTTAAGTTAGATGAACGGCTGAAATGACGCGATGGAGTGTGAAAGGGGATTTTTGAAAACGCGGCAGAAAGAAATATAGGCCACCAATGCATTTAATTACCCTGGCACCACTTTTGTGCCGGTTGTATGCCTTTTATCACCACGTCCCGTGTTATATAGTGTCGTAAATTAGCCTTAGGTGGCCCTATTGATTTTTTCGGCTGAGTGCGCTTCATAATTTAGTGCAATCAGGAGGTGTTAGGCCGTGGGAGTACCCTGCTTCTCATTGAGTGCGCTAATTGTCTCTCAAATAACATCATCTCTCTATCCACCTGGACAATGAATAGATAATGATGTTTAACATTAAACACAACCTGGCTGTATCACAGCTCTATTCTTTCATCTCGTATTGTCCATGTAATTGTGCGGTACGTGTGGGTAGTGTTTGCTTTGGATTTGGCAGTGTCACTGAAGTGAGTTACATGCATACACGCTGCTACACGTTTATGTTTCAATTGATTAGAAATCAATATGGTTTTTATTTATGTCTTTAAATATGTTTCATCAAATGTTAGTGTTTATGCATTAATTCAGGTCACGTGTTGCAATGTCTGCCTGCACCAGTGCAAAATGCACTGGCGCGGATACCATGCGTTCAAGCAGTAATATATCAATTATTTTTTGTAGTTGTACATAATTATAACTATAATACATAATTATTAGAGTTAGCCTGATTTGATCTAGTCATTTTAATAAAGGCTTTTAAATTAATTGATAAAGTCACAACAAAACTTCTCTTTAAAGGCTGGCAACGTTTACGTGCGAATGTGTACCACCTTATAATATTATGTACATGTATATATTATATAATATATATCCTTCTCATGTTTTTATGGAATTTCTCCTTAGGACTTAATTGTATTGGTCAGAGTCAGGGCCTATTCTCTTGTTCGTTGAATGTTAGTTACATACTCATCAAGTAATTTTTAATCTACACAAGCTAACTCCCATTAAGCACGTTTTCAGTTTACGCCATGTTTTGTACAATTGTGCCCCGTTGAATTGACACACTGTTATTAATCGTGTAGGATGTAAACCTGGTGTAAAACTTATACTTGCCCAGCGAACTAAATAAGTCAACATGGTAATATACACATGTAATAAAATACAGTGTTTTGTTCTGCCATGTTATTCTGGTGATACACAGAGTGTGTCAGTTCACAAAAATTTAATAAGCTATAGAACAACTAAAGAGCGCCAGCCGCAACCGCGCTCACTCACTCACGCACGCATGCACGCACGCACAGGCACTCACACACCGCCGGCCAGGCACTTTAATCGGCAATCATCATCGCTTGGTTAGGATTCCCATCCGATCTACCACGCAGGAACCTTTGATAATACACGTAAACACGCTGCGCACAGATAAACTCTTGCCATTGCCGGCTTTTATGGTTTGTACAACACACGGACCCGCCCACCACTTGACGCCCCAACTACTATTCCGCACCGCATTACCCAAAGTTGTAACACGCGGATATTCTATCGTGATCGTAATATGGGTACGCGTCGGAGAGAGGTACACGCGTTGCTACACGTCAAGTGTCTGACCCACAAAAAAAATAATAAAGTAAAAAAAAAAAAATTTATAAAAATAAAAACTAATAGACTGATATGATACGTATTAAAACGAGTGAAATACTTTAATGAAACATATGCATTAACGTATTGTATATCTCACAAAGGCGTGTTAGTATCGCGTACAATATATTGCGTTGCGTACATGAAACGTACTTACGATTTCACGGTTGATAAATGGCTTTTTTTGCATATGCGGGCAACATGCGAACGCAGAGACGACTCACGGATTTTGCTATTCGCGTATATCGACGGAGAAGAGCCCCGCCCAACATTTCTGTGCGCGCGGGTTTTTATTACGTCTGTCAGGCCTTTGTCTTCTACACGGCCAATCGGCCTTACCCCGCTCTGCTGTAACTAGGCTGTCGCGTGATGGGACTGGTTGCCGGCCAGTGCCAGCGTATTAAACAAAGACACCGACCTCACCCTCTCTATTCGTTCTAATTTCCCACTATTACATTCATATATATATATATATATTAATATATATATAGTATAGACAATAACCTTCATCCGGTTCGGTGTCGGCCCTGTTTCTTATATACCCTTAGCGTACCTCGAAGAAGAAGTCATGAGGTTCGTGTATAGTCGCCGCCCTTCTCCAGCCGAGAGACTTCATGAATTGAATTCTCGCGTAATTCTGCGCGAGCTGCGAGTTACACGTGCGGTATACTAGCGGGTACTCGGACTTGTCCGACAGACTCGGCGACGACGGTCCCATGGCGAACTACGGGGGTGCGTATATCGCAAAGGATGAGAAGGATATATATATATATATATATACATGTACATATATTATAAGGTGGTACACATTCGCACGTAAACTTTCAGCATTTAAATGAGAAGTTTTTGTTGTGGACTTTATTAATCAATTTAAAAGCTTTATTAAATGACTATGATCAAATCACAGCGCAACTTAATAATTTATTATTATTAGTTTATATGTACAACTACAAAAATAATTGATATTATATGCTTGACCATGTATCCCCCGTGCATTTTGCACTGGTCAGCAGACATCAACACGTGATCCTGAATTAATGTGCATAAACACTAACATTTGATGAAACATATAAAACATAAAATAAAAAACATATTGATTTCTAATCAATTGAAACATAAACGTGTACATGTGTATGCATGTAACCACTTCAGTGACACTGCCAAACCAAAGCAAACACTACCCGCACGTACTCTGCTACAATTACATGGACAATACAGATGAGAATAGAGGCTGTGATACAGCCAGGTTGTGTTTAATGTTAACATCATTATCTATTCATTGTCCAGGTGGATAGATGATGTTATTTGAGAGGATCAATTTACCACTAATGAGAACTGTGCACTCCCACCCCTAACGCCTCCTGATTGCACTAATTATGAACCACTCAAGCCGAAAAATCAATAGCCACCTAAGCTAATTTACGACACTATAAGACACGACGTGGTGAAAAGGCATACAACCGCACAAAAGTGCCAGGTAATTAAATGCATTGTGCTATATTTCTCCGCGTTTTTAAAAATCCCTTTCACACTCCATCGCGTCATTCAGCCGTTCATTAACTTTAGGAGACGTCTTGGAAAATTATGCCTGGCAATTACCTACATTAGGTAGTGTGCTGTCTCTCTCTCTCTAGCAGGTAACTATTACATTGTCAACACAGCCGGAAGTAAAGTAACTAGAGAGGATTGACGCTCGCTCGCCCCACACAATAACCGACCCACGCATACCACCAGAGGTAAACGATCCTCATGTTCATTCATCCCAAGTTCATCCCCGTATATAGCGGGATAGAGGATACTAAATAAAGTAGCGATTTCGGCGTGCGACTCCTACCTTTGTCGTCGATGCCGAGACCCATCATGGCCGCCGTCACGTCATCGGTGCAGGTCAAGGTCGGGTCGTACTGATGACCTTCGGACAGGAGCTCGTCCAGCTCCCGGTCAAGGTCGGCGTCGGACGCGCTGACGTCGGCGAAACCCTGAGCAAGAGACTGCTGAATGTCGCCGTGAGACTCCAGCACCTAGATCGCAAACGAGAGAAAATTGTCTAGTGTTTTACCACGCTATCATTTTGCAGCCGCAATCATCGTCATCGTCGTCATCATCATCGTCATCGTCGTCATCATCGTCGTCGTCGTCGTCGTCATCGTCACCATTGTCATCATCGCCGTCATTGCCTTCGATCTGTTAGGGAACTCCCGGTTAATTTCTGAGTGCAAAATTAGCGGGGTTACACATGAGTTGTAGCCAGGACAATTTTAGTGGCGGCTAATATCAGTGATTGCGTCATATGCATAAATTATTATAATAGCAACATGGTGCTTAGCCAGCTATACTGCATGTACTCTGCGCTGTACGATGTGATCAGATGATGATTTTATGCATAATTTTTGTTGAGATTAAACTCAGTTGGTTTTTAAAATTAATTCTAAGTGTATCAGTTGTGATAATTTGTAGATTGCTCACTATTTTGAAGGTAATTTTACACAAACTCAATCATTTTTGTGCCGGGCGGAAGGATGTTATTTAAAGCTGTGTGCCGGTCGGCCAACACCAGAGCAGACTATTACCGACCGGCACAGCTACAAGGGTGGGTTACACCTTTCTACGTATGTCTGACGGCGGATCGAGCCCGAGTGCCGGAAAATTACGCACTGGGTGAGAAACGTAAGAGTACATACTAGAAACCAATGTTTAAAATATAGTACGTTTTCTTAGGCTGCTTTAGATAAATTCATGCCACTTGTAGGGACGGGAATTCGTACTTTATCCCTAAATCACTACTGAATTAAGATATGTGGTGAATAACACTATGTTATATATAGACAAATGTACAATTTCTTAATATTATCTATGCTATTACACACGCCCAGTCACATGCCTTTGAAAACAGCAATAAAGACTTGCCATCAATTTTAATATAGCTTCCTTCCCGATGATGCTGAAAATGTGTTACAATTTTTATTGAGAGAAATGTGGACTGCAATGCTATTAATATTACATTTTTCTGACCCAGGCAAATGTAGACATTGTCTGCAATTTCATTTGCAATAATATTAGGATACACTTGGATAATAGCTTGTTAGCAAGCAGTTATCCATGATGCTGTTGTTGTTGCTGTTGTTGTCATTGCTGATCATGCCACTGTTTATTTTCTATGCACAGGGTTGGATATTTACAGATCAGTGAATTTTTTGTAACTATGACATTGTTATATAAAGAACCTATGATCGCCAAAATACGTTGCAGCTCTAAGAAAACCATGTTTAACAACTGGGTGCGAGTATACAACAGTAGCATGGATAATAATTTACATGCATGGCATGCTTCATTAGGTAATTTGCTCACTCTGCATTTAGATGGCAGCACTGGACAGACCTGATATTTTTACTGAATGAACGTCAATATTTTGCTACAATAATTTCATTGATAAAGCATAATAGAATTTAGAATATATATATATATATATATATACTATATATACATTATAAATATATAATATATATATATATATATATATATATACATGTGCATTATGTGTGTACCTACGTGCATGCATGTACATAGACAGAGATATTATAATTAGCATCTGTATCTTACGTACATCTAAAATTAAAACAAGCAACCTAATTGTATCATTGTTTCAAATGACTGTAAATGCTGAATTATTTAATCAACTCTACTGCTTTTTTACTAAATGTTTCATGTTTCTTCCTTCAACAGCTTTGAATTGACTCAATTAATTTTTTTGCCTTCCCTACCTCATTTCCATCAGAATTATTTGTTTACTAATAACTAGCCATTTGTTTCAAACTGGTTTTTTTTCTAAATTCATTGAATTTTTGTGAACAACGTAGTTTTTGAGTGTTATCACGGTTACCTCAGCCATCTCATCCATGGTTGTGTTTACACTGTCTGGGGTGAGCCCTCCATCGGCAAACGTCTTCTTGATAGCAGCAACACCTACTTTGTAAGCATCATACACCTGCAATGATGCAACACCAGCCTCACTCAAGTTTCATAAACTTGCACACATAAGACACACGTGGACACAAAACCAATATTAATAGATTACATTACAGTTTCGCAGGTTTAAAAACAATTAGAGATCGATATGGGTTTGTCACAATCCATCGCACAAGTAGGTAACACCATCACAGTAGAGAACAACCATGATCAGGTTGTAGAATGAAAGTGACCATACATGCGTAGGATATGCTTGCTAATTTGTGCTTGTTGATATACGAATGCATGCATATCAAAGCAGGGTTCTCCCCAAGCCTTTAACGCATGTCAGGTCTGACGCGTCTTCGAAACTGAAGCTAATATGCAGCACCGCATAAATCCGCCAACATTCTTTAATTGCCTAATCAGCATACCTAAATTTCCAGCTGCATTTAATTTTGACATAACCCATAATAGTCACGCTGTGTTATCACAACTTGATGTATACTTCTCCAAACTAATCGAGTTTACCCGTGCATTAGGGAGGGGGGACCACTTACGACACGCGTAAATGACTCCGATCGGCATGACCCCCTCCCCACACGAGCCCGCCCACCATCTGTCCACGAGCGACACGCCTTCCAAACATGCTGGGGAGAACCCTGCAAAGGAACCATGAACACGCGTCGGGATGCAGACGACGGCGAGAAGTCGTGCATATGCTCACGCACCATCGCGTCGGAGTTTGCCTCGTGAAGCCTCAGCAGCAGCGAGTGGACGTTGTTGAGAGCGGCTTCGTTCTTCTCGAGCAGCCTCTCCACCGCCTTCCTCCTCCGGAGAGCACTCAACGCCTGCAGAAAGAGCGACGTGAGTAATTACCAATTATACTTATATTAATACCAGACCTGCCAACCTGTGATTCAAGAAAATAGTAAGGCTTTTATTTTCTTGCAGCAGGCGGCCATTTTGTTTGTATGTTATGCGCGCAATGAATGATGGGACTAACTCTAGATCACGCGAGAACAACGTGAACGCGTGATCCAATATGGCTGCACCCACAATCGCCAGATATTTCTCGGCTCACAATGTAAAAAACATTAATTTCCACAAGTCGTAAAAAATCGTAAGTTTTTCAGTTTGATCGTACATTCGTAGAAACATCATGGAATTCGTAAGGAATACGAAAAAATCGTAAGGGTTGGCAGGTCTGTAATACTACTAAAATTAATAAATAAATAATGACGATGATGATAATAATAATCATAATCATAATCATAATAACCACAACTATATTAATATGTGACATAATCACTAGCTGATATTACCTGAAAAAAGGTGACACCTGCGATAACAAACTTGTGGGTTACGAGAGGCTCTAAAATGTTCAGTTTGCGTCATTTCAGATTTCATATGAAATATGCATTCAGGCATGCCATAAAAAGACTTGAGGTTGAAAGGCACATTACGTAGATCAATTTTTAGCAACTAACTTTGAGCAACTAGATCGAAAAATATTTCAAATTTAATGCAATTTGGGCACATATTCAAACTCACAATACACAGCACTGAATGATTAGATTTACTTGCAGCAGGAATCAAGCCGATTTTGTTTACGAGATATATGTTACAAAACCAACCGAGTTTTTTAGTCCCTTTTGAATGCAGAGCCGTGCATCTGCCATGCACTTCTCGCTATCCTCACTAAGCTTCTTTACACGGGATTCAAGATCTTCCATCGTTTTCTGCAACCTGTATAAAGGAAACCAACATGGAAGCCAACATCTTCACATGGCACAAATTACGGCACACGAAAATTCGTTAACTCGTACATATATTACACACGATTTATTAGGTAATGGCTAGAGACAGTTCGAAACTTTTGTTTTATCACAACAACTTACCGAAATATCCCAACATCAGTCTCAGTGATATCTAAGGTTTCCGTTTGCTCGGGTTTTGCAAACTTGGCAATCTGTGACAATACAACATAGGTCAGTGAATTTGCACACATATTAGTATTTCTATGCGCTGCTGCCTGTTAACATGTATAGCAAAATATAATGAACTATATATATCACCAAGATTGCACCCATTTAGCTGTTTATTCAGGCTTCAATAGTGTCTTCACCGACTAAAAACTACATGTGATCATGACGCATGGCTCAATTGCAAATCACGACCAGCAATTATGGTATAGTTATGGTTATGGTTGCAATATACTACCTTCTCTTTTTCTGACAACTGCAGCTCAACGATTTGCTTATTTCTCTTTAACTGTGTGAGTATCAAGTCAAACACTTCTTCAGTGGGACACAAGTCTTTGACCTGGTCACTGAGCACGGAAATAGGCACTAAATGGTCAGTGGTGTCATTCGTAACTGACAGTTGATGCCTATTAAATACCTCCTCTGCCGTGGACTGCAACGATATCAACACACCATTATTAACCAAACAGACTCTTTGCTATATATAGCATATAGCAATATATTAATGTATAGATAGAAATAGAATAGATCTATCTTGGTTAATTGTTACTCAACCGTGTTGATTCAAAACGTACTGCTGACGACAAAGCTGACTCAACTTTGAGAGAAAGTCTCCTGATAGGAGGCGAAACGTCAGCAGTACATTTTGAATGAACACTGTTAAGTAACAATTAACCAAGATAGATCTACCAACCGAATAAACTTATTTAATGAGTATAGATAGAATATTTATAGAATATAGAAATGATTAAAGCTGTGCCATGTAAATTTCTCTAAAAAATTTTGGCAATGCCCTACAGATATGTTTCTACAGATCGATACCTTTTAAGCACTTGAAGGCTCTAGTTTTGTGAAAAAATTGAAGTCACAAAAATTACATCTTTGTTATTAAATGGAGTACATGCTCATTGTAATTTTGTGTGTGATTTCACACAACTTCAATTATAATCTAGTTAGATGCTCCCCTTCATATTCAAAACCTACCTTGACTAAACCTACTGCCACAAATCTATCCATCTGCAAGCTCTTGGAGTTCTCACCGACAGGCCATACCAGGTCACGTGCGAAGACTGCTGGTTTCTTAACGAGGGCCTGAAAACTCCATGACAGCCAGCCTTGTGAATCACGCTGCTCCCTTTTGAAATCATCAAGTCTTTGAACAGCACCAGACCTTAAATTGAAAGTTTATCATATATGTTCAATGATACTGTGCATTTCATTGGTATTATAAATGTGGAAATGTAAACAGCCCCCATACAACAGTCGGTCAATGTTTATATTGAAGGAATCCACATTTTTAATTGAGATCTGTCAATAAATACTAGGCTTACCTGGAATTTACCTAGATAACGTAGCATTCTAAATTTTTTTTATTATATCATAGGCTAAAATATGTCTGATCAGATCTATGTCTCCTTTCACTCATGGAAAACGTAGGGTGCTGATTCCCGTTTAGCCTTTATAAATGGAGCACCATCCTACAAGTCAGGCATTAATACTACTAGAGTGACATGCTAATTTACAGTTCTAATATATTACATCCCAGCTGTAATGATAGGGTTAGATTTGGGATATATTGACTCTACCCAACTTTGAAGATTGGTCGACTATTGACGTAGATTAGTATAGTTTCATGGAAGTTCATCAAGATGAATAATGGAGAAGTGGTGTCCTAGTAAATATTTATAGCCTGGAATGTTGTTCCACCTAATAGTAGTACTAGTAGTAGTACTCCTACTACTAGTAACTTTACAAGTACAGTCCGACCTCTTTTATCTGGCCACGTCGGGACCGGCACCCATCTGGATATGGGATTTGGCCGGATATGAGAGTTATGCTCAAACACAGCATTTCTATGCAGTTCAGTAGGGTTTATGCATGTGATAATGTATTTACTCGTTGCTATGATTATTTGTAACAAACTGTCGTGTTTTATGGTTTATATGAAATGGAAATAAAATGAAATAAAACAGAAATTTTACCACTTCGGTTTATGTTTGTTTCTTTTGTGCTGAGATCTAGGGCTGTAACGATCGACGCACTCGCGTATTCGGCGGCAGCGGCGCCTTTGATTGAAGTACGGGGCTCGATCAATCGCGAGTGCGTAGCGCGTTTCACTAACGTCTGCTAGTAAAAGTTGTTCGTTAACGAACGAAAGTTGTCCGAAGCAGGGGCGGATCCAGGATTTTAGGAAGGAGGGGGTGCAACCTTTGTAAAAAGGCAGTGGATTTGGGGGCAAAGCCCCATTACTGTTTAAATTCATTAAGTTCACATATATATGGGTTTTCGGTCCATAAGTTATTAATGTGAGCTTTTGGCATAGCTGATTGAAATGCGTGCATTTGGCAATATAATGTAACTTATGCAGTGCATCTATACAGGCAACCGTACAGTGCAGCATGGCGCCGCCACTGTATTGCTAACATCATTTTAAGAAAGGCAGCGGTTAGTTTTGTACCTAGATTTTCCGTTTTGGATTTGAGCATGTTATGGCCCGACTCCTGGGCCCGACCAATAATATATATTCTAAGAAAAATGAGGGCTTGATCGGGTTCGACTGAGTGAAATACTTGTCAGATACAGGCCGAGCGGCAAAACCTACCGTTTTTTTAATAAGGCAACTTTTGCAAAAAGGGGGGGTGCGCATCTCCTGCACCCCCCCGCCACCCTGGATCCAGCCCAGCAGAGGCATAGCGGACACGAGCGGAGAACACACACACACCCACACACACACGCAAACACGTGCGGTTGCAGTACATCGCGCGAGTTTTGAGCAAGATTTTTAGGTGGAAATGAATGAAAAACAGAGATAATACACTGCGAGATCGCGGCCGGCTAATAGAGATTTCCGGATAACGGATGGCCGGATAAAGTAGGTCGGACTGTACATGATTTCCTGGATGTTAATTTAAGGAAGTGTCTAAACAACCGGATCCGGTTTTGGTATCGTGAAAACTAAACAACCGGCTCTCTTCTCTGATTGGCTAATTTTGTCACTATTTCATTTATTATTATTTTTGGCTAATTTCATCTTATGTTAGAATTAGGGATAGGGTTAGGGTTAGGATTAATGTTAGGGTTAGGGTTAGGGTTAGGATTATTGTTAGGGTTAGGGGTTGGGTTAGGGTTAGTGTTAGAATTAGGGTTAGGGTCTATATCTCTAACTTTCAAGTTGGTTGCAGTGGCTCAATGGTAGAGCTTTCGCTTCGTGCTAGTAAAGTACCGTGTTCGAACCCCATACGTTGTTTTTATTTTCCTCTGCTTAATTTTTGTATTTCTTTTAATTTTAATTGTTTCTGCATTTATTTGTTCCGTATTCATTTATTTGTTCTGTAAGTTGTAACTTTTGTTTACGTTCGGAATTAAATATATTTCTTTATGTTTTGCATTAAAAATTGCCCTATTATATATTTGTCCTGTTACGTTCAGAAACTGACCAATCAGAATAGAGAGCCGGTTGTTTAGTTTTCAGGCCTCCGAAACCGGGTCCGGTCGTTTAGCCACTACCTTAATTTAACAGCAGAAAAGGGATTGGAAGTTTATTGTACCTTAGCATTTCTTGTATAACAGCCGTCAGACATTGTGGAGCTGCATTTTTTCTTTTGAATGTCTCGCATAATGCAGTGTAGTCCCAAATAAACATATGTGTACGAGAACACGTCAGCAAGATTAGCTCTGTCCAAAATTTAACTTTGGCTGGGTAGTCTGCCGGATTGGTTGAAGAGGACCTAACCACTGAGAATAGAGCGCCCATTCGCTCGTCGTCTGACCAACATGCTGGGAAATAATCTGGAGTATTTTGCGTCATTATGATGAAAGACAAAAAACTTAAAATGCCATTTGAAGTTCATACAAGGATTCAATTAACACCACTTCGTCGAGAACTTATCAATCACAACATTATTGCCTAACAACATCAGCTTCCTGCGCATGCCATTGAAATGTAAACTTCGCGCATTCTCGCGGTTTCTCGCGTTGATAAGCGAGAATTGAAAGATGGAAGGCGAAGTTGGTGACACGGTTAAATGACCTCAATATTTCCGTGTTTTCTTCCGTTATGTTGGTACAACCATGATGGTTTTTTGTTCACATTAATGCAGTAAAATGATATCTATACGAAAATGGTTCTACAAGCCAAAGGTAAGCATCTCTGTCTGTTATACGCCTTCTCACTCGTACGATACGGATGTTGACTGGACAATCTGTCGACAGTAGCCTGACTGAGTAGGCGTTACTCCGATTGCTCAATGAAATCCTTATTATGATTTATGTTAATCAATACTCTAGTAATAGTCAATATTATCGCATAACAAGCTAGCACTACTATGATTAATCGCAACACATCATATACAGTGTCAGTAGTTTGAAAACGTCGTTCTCGATCTAAAATAGACAAGCCAGATCAGGGGGAGGGTGTGGAATCCGGGTTGTGTGGGTAGTAATTAAGTCACCATGCAACCCCTTCTCTGTTAAACTAGGCTGCCCGCTATACGCATTCGCGCGCCCGCCTTCCTTCGGCGCGCGAATTCGTATAGCGGGGAGCGCGAGATGCTACATACAACACCCTGCGGTCGCGTGCGCCCAGTCCCGCGGAAGTGCGCGGCTTAACCGCTTTCGGCGGTCGGGGAACAACGCATCTTTTGCGCAACGCCATCTTGTACCCGGTCTTTCTGGTTTGAAACAATCTTGGAACGTTCCTCTATAATGTATTCGTGAGCGTGACTATTAAGTATTATTTATATACCGGTACTTCTAAATATCAAGAGGATGTTCGTCTTTCCGAAAACTAAATGTGTCACCGAAGCAAAAAGTGTAACTCGATCAGCTTCCGTGCCTGTCGAGGTTCTATGCCAGACACACATGTATTGAATCTGCATACGCACATGCAGGCTTTCAGATTTGAAAAGTACAGGAGGACTACTAATGACTCCCCTAGGACACCATAGGGGCTCTTTTCACGCTCCATAATCACCAGCCCTTAAGAGGCATGATGAGAGCTCCACTAAAATTCACATGAAACCCTTAAGAGGCATGATGCGAGAGCTCCCAGCTAAAAAATCACACCCTTTAAAAGGGATGATGGAGAGCTCCTTTGAGGGCTCTCCATCATGCCTCTTGGGTGTGATGATGGAATCATGACCAATCCTCAGTCTAGAGAGAAATCCAAAACGAAAATTGGGGATGTCATGTCAATCTACTGATTATCATTCATCTTCACCTCATTCATTCAATGGCTTCGTCAGGATTACATTATTTTCATCCAACAACCCAACACTAGCACACAGATTAATAAAAGAGTTGATCGGAATTGTAAAATATAACTTTTTTATTTTATTCTGATTTCCATCCTTAGAGATTCTAAATCCATGTACCTGCATATTTCAGCACAAAATATCATCAAACAATCCATCAACAAACTAGCCAAATTACTTGTACGTGTAACCACGTATTGTAGCCCTCCAGCCCTAAACTGTTTCACGTCGGCAGAAAACTACTCTCTGCCACGTATAGTAGAAAACGAGCGGTAACTTGTGGCTACCGTATAGGTACCACATTGTTGTGTGTTGCTAACCTTTTGACCCCCCTACACTTGAGAAACTACTATGGAGGCGCTATTTCAACATAATAGACGTACTTTTAGTGCCCGCGAATTCAACCACGTTTTATGAAGGTCGCGATGATGCCGGCGCACCATGGCCACAATTTCGGTGGCGCGGTGCGACGCGAGCGCGATCACGGCCTCTTAAAATGAAAGCCTGCACATGTAATGAAATGCGGCATGCATGAACATGTGCAGTATCAAATCAAAATGCTTACAATTATACACTCAAATCTGATGTGTCATAACTGTAATCGTTTTGGCCAAACATTATTGTAGACTGACTAAACATGACTGGCAAGAAGATCATTCAACCCTGGTAGTACTGACTACAGTAACTCAGGGTTTCTTCTGAGGGAAAATTAGACAAAGGAGGTGACGTGGCGCAGTTTGCGGCAAAAAACGCGCATGATGATTCAAATATGTGTGCGGACGGCTGCAGCGGGCGGCGGGGGGGAGAAGGCGGGAACTCCCCTCTCTCGCTGGGGGGGGGGGTGGTTCTGGGTGTCTCCGCAGTCGAAAGTTTTAAAAATTGCTGCAATGTCTGACTGCATTTGAGGCACCCTGAAAACGGTGATGTTAAATTTGACTATGGCGGTGCGCCACTGTGCCTCCTATGTATAAGAAACCCTATAACTAATGACTATCTGATTTGTCATAACTGTATTGTTTTGCCAAACATTACTGTAAACGTATCATCTTGTTCATATAGGTATTTAGTAACTAGTATAAAAATGCATAAATTTGAGAAAAGAAGCGATTTAGTAAACTTGTTGTGGCATAACTTAACACGTTAATAAACTTGCAGATTTAATCTATATTATTCTTAGATTAAGCTGGTATATATGTCACAATGTGAATTAAGATTATCTCTGTTGTAATACAAACTATACAGTCACATCACGGAGAATAACCCCAGCGAGAGGGGGAGTTCCCCCTCTCCCTTTCTCTCCCACGTCCGCCTGCTGCGTTCGCATACGTGCATATGGCACACCTTTGAATCCGTCATGCACTTTTTTTCCCAAACTGGCCATTTCTTCTTTTGTCTAATTTTCCCTCAGAAGAAACCCTGAGTTACTAGTACCATAAATACATGTATGCTATGTAGTGCTAGTATACATGATGTACATGTGTCTGGACATGGTAATAGTAGCAGTAGCCAGTAGCAGTGACAGCAGCAGTGTGGATTGTAACAAAAGCAGCAAGAATGGTAGCCAAGTTGTATCAGCTTTTAAAGAAGCAGTAACAGAAACAGCTGTACATAACACTAACAGTAGTGGTAGCTGTTGTGATTTTAGTTTGTTTTTTCCTGTGTCGTGGTACACAGATAACCAGGTATAAAGTTCAATAGATAAGTTTTTATTCAACAGTTAGAACATCATGGCGGCAACCCTGGCGCTGCCGGCAATTCATACAGTAGAAGTGAACCAATAAGAAATCAGTATTGCGTATGACGCAATCACACGCGGAAGTTAAACTTAAGAAATGAATATACCGAGATATAACTGCAAGGTATTAATTATTATACTGATATTGATAATATGACAGTAGCAGCAATGGGGTTAGCAGAAGCAGCAGTAGTGGCAGCAGTAGAGTAACGGTAGCCAGTAGTGGCATCAGCCATAGCAGCAGCAGCAGCATCACCAAGCCATAGAACTTACAGCAGTGAGATTGACAGCAGAATGTTGTTCCAGTTATCAGCAACAGCATTGGCAAAGCATTGGTCCTTGGATGCGCTAAGTACTGACTTATCTGCAGAACTAGTTCATGACGTTTTAACTACACTGATCTAGAGTTGGTACTACGACTCATTTGTTATAGGAAAAGCACAGGAAATTTTATGAACATGAACTCACAGATTTCAGCTAGTAACGTCCCGTATTTGGTCATTTTAAATTGGAAATGTGGATGTAGCTCAGGGCTCGAATTTCCCTAGTTTGAGGACTAATCCGTACGGATTTGTTCCTTCACAAATGAGCAAATCTGCTCAAAATCTAAGTAATCCGTACGGGGTAGGCTAAATTTTACTATGAAAGAAAAAATTGCATGCAGGACAAACCGTCCTGAATAAAATACCTTAAAGTTAAACATTGCTATTTTAGCGTTGGGAGCTCAGCATTTTATTGTACAGATTTGTCAGATAGTTGATTTAAATGCTGTATAATGGCTCTGGCACCACAGACTCTGTGTCTGCTCTGTGTACATTTAATGATTTTAAGACAAAATTGACTAAGAAGTTGCTGAGGTGGAAGGAGCACTGTAACGGCAAGGTCTTTTTAAGTAATCCGTACCGATTTCCTTCAGGTTTCCTCATGAAATCCGTAACAAATCCGTAGGGTGATTTCCTCAGAATTTCGAACCCTGGTAGCTTTACTTGGGGGCACTCAGAAACAGGGTCATTTATAGGCACAAGGTTAAACATTTATAGACTGTGAACTGGTTGTAGATTAGGTGGTGGATGTCTGGTTTATGCCTCTTGTCCGGGGGGGGGGGGGGCTCATGAATCTTTTAACAGGGAATGTCTATATTAACCACCCGCACTCACTCACACTCATCGCCATGTGGTTGGTTCATTATTGTGTTATATGCAGCCGATCTCAGCAAGTGAGGACATGACCAATGCAAGTTAAAGGAAATGCTTAATTTGGGGAAGTATTCACTCTAAGAACTACTTATCCGGAGTCAAATCGTAGCATTTATGGAGTAGAAATGTCGACATGTTTACATGATCATACATCTTTTACGCGTGAGAGAAAAAAAACGAAAGTAAGGATAAATTATATCGAATTACTACAGATAAATCGCCCGGGTTTCTGCTATACGCTGTGGCAGATTCGTCATTTTTTTTACATCTTCGATGCAAATTAACGGCTGTGAAATCTAGAAGGATGTTAGGAGCAGTTGAAGGAGAGGCTAATGAATTGCGTGTGTTTACTGTTGCTTCGCTACTCCCTGTGCAGTCTTAAATATCGGCTAATGGCCATGGTAGAACTTAGAAGTTGGATTGTCGTCAATTTGTCGAATAGGAATGGTTTAACTATAAGTATAACTGTTATGATACGACAGAAGAATTGAATGAGTATGTTGGCAAATTACGAGTTGGGCGTTTATGCTAATGAGTTTACTTAGGTCGAAGCTACATTGCGAGTCACGGGTTGGGAAGTACTTGTCAGAAGTGCTTCATACAACTTCATCAGTGTATAGATTATTAGTTGACATGTGTTTCTCGCTTCAATGTAAATTTTGACGTTTAAGATTTTTAAAATCCGGAGCTTTATAATCTAAAATTTATTTCACTTTTATAGAAAACAAATTAATTGCATGTATGTATGTTAGCTTGTACTTGCTGTCTGGCAAAAACGTTCATTCTAACCCTGAAAGTACTTACTACAGTAACTCAGGGTTTCTTCTGCGGGAAAATTAGACAAAGGAGGTAATGGCCAGTTTGGGCAAAAAACGTGCATGATGGATTAAAATGCGTGCCGTACAGGCACGCATGCGGATGCTGCAGGCAGACGCGGGGGGGGGGGGGGAGAGGCAGAGGGGGAACCCTCTGGGGGTCCTCCCCCAGCAAAATTAAAAAAATTTGAATGTCTTAGACTGTATTTGAGGCACCGAAATTTGACAATGGCGGTGCGCCACTGTGCCTCTTATGTATAAGAAACCCTATAACTAATGACTATCTGATTTGTGATTTTAGAGAGGTTCAGCGATAGTAGTAAATTAATTTGAAATGCTAGAGGGCTTAAATTTAAAACTAGGTTTAGTTTTACAACTAGTACTACCCTTGTATAGTTCCATCAGTGTTATCAGTCTCCTGTGCACATTTCACACTTAATCGGCGAAAACACGTGTATGTATCCAAAGTCACTAGCGAATCCGAAGCCTTTACAAAAAGTAGTAAGCCTTTTTAAAGTTTTACACACACACAAAATTATGTTTGTTTTTTATGTGCATGTGTAAGTAGAGTGCCATTTTAACTTGCCTTTATTTATATACAGTGGCCAACGGTGAGTGACTCAGTATGCATTACAGCATTTATATTGCCTTATTTTATGGTTCGCATACATGTGCGTTATCATCATTTACGTAACAGGATATGTAGGCAGGAGCAGGCGATGAAATTTTATCGTTTGAACTTTTACATTTACTAGTGCCTGTATGAAATCCCTAGCCACAAGTGGATTAGTAGCCTAGTTAAACAGTAGAATATTGTGAAATGATGAAAATTGGTTCTATCAATACCATAATTTCATAACAAAAACCAGGCTTTGCCATCTGAGAAACCAAGGGGCCTAAAAAGGACCCGTCATTTACTCGACAGGGCTAATTTCTCTAGATAGGGCTGATTTTCGTTTTCGGTTCTCGGAATATCAAAATTTGATGGGGCCGGAAAAAAAGCCCCGTGGACACCAGAGACGGGGCTGTTTACGGGGCTTGGGCCGATCGGCCGCGTGAAAAGGCGAAGCCTGAAAAACATTGCTAAACAAGTATTTAGAGGTAATGACATGTCAATGTCTTAATCTGTTCTAAAGTCATCCAGCAAGGGATTTATAATATGTAAGCACTTATAAATACGTTTTCTCTCCACTTCCTCTTTCTCTCTCCCACTCTCTGTCTGTCAGTATCTTCCTACCTCTGGCTTCCCCTTTCTCTTCCCTCCTCTGTGTGCATACACTTGCATTTTACCAAATGGAGACCATCACAATCGCATACATGTCCATGTTGCTGTGGAAGCCAGAACTAGGCAGTTATATTTGTACGGCATATAGAGCCAAGATCAATAGTATCTGACTCCTACCTAAACATTAAAACTAGATTCACGGTACATTGTACATTCTAAGAACCGTGCGGAACCCCGGCAAGTCATCCATATATATACATGGAAGCTCGCGGATGTAGATGATGCAGTCATTTAATTTGTGTGCGCCGAGTGTGAAATCGTGTGTGTTTTCGCACGACAGCCCTATGAGCTCGATAAACACGCACACACGGACGCACGCACATGTGAAAATTCACACATACGCACGCACGCACGCACACGCACACACGACTCACACACACACACACACACACACACACACACACACACACACACACACACACACACACACACACACACACACACTCACACACACAGACGCGTGTAAGAATATATTGGTAATCTTGCTTGCAAATAAAATGTGCCCGGGCGGCCGCATCAGCTGTAAGCGTCTGTCCTACTGCTCCACTTATCCTGACACATGTTCGCAATGCTAAGTTTGTGCAAGTCCTGCGCAAGCTTATATATATATATATATATATACATATTGCGCGCGTGTGCGTGTATATGCGTGTGTCTGTGTGTTTGTGTGTGTGCGTGCGTGCGTGCGTGCGTGCACGTGCGTGTTCGTGTGTGCGTGTGTGTGCTTGCATGCGTGTATGCGCTTGCATACAGTAATGATTTTCGCGTCAACACGGCTGTAACTAGCGTGCTCACGACCAATAACGACTCACTTACAATATGGTAATACAATATAACTTACTTACATACAATATAATACAATACAATATATATAATACAATACAATATTACTTATATACTTACAATATAACCCTATACCATTGTAAGTGAGCCGTTATTGGCTGGTATCTACACCAGAGAAATATTGATGCATGTTCCCATGACCACATAAACCTCTCGTTTAATCCCACGCTGACGCTCACTTGTTTCCCGATCACCCGCGGCAGAACAACTGCCAACTTTTTCGTTACATTAATTGTATCCCCCGCGACGAAGTCGGCGGGTATACTATGGTTTCATGTCTCCCCAGCAGCCGCCGCCGCCGCAGACAATTTCACCTTCCGCTCTATAACTCGACCCCTAATTGACCCTAGCGCTACCAAACTTGGTATACTTACACATCTTGGGGAGAAGGTGAGCAGCGTACCAAAACCAGGTCACTGCGACATTTATTTGACTTTTACCTTGACCTTAATCATATTTCCCTTCCACTCTCTAACTCGGCCCCTAATTGACCTAGCGCTACCAAACTTGGTATACTTACACATCTTGGGGAGAAGGTGAGCAGCGTACCAAAACCAGGTCACTGCGACCTTTATCTGACCTTTACCTTGACCTTGATCATATTTCCTTCGCTCTTTAACTCGGCCCCTAATTGACCTAGCGCTACCAAAACCAGGTCACTACGACCTTTATTTGACCTTTACCTTGACCTTGATTATATTTCCCTTCCGCTCTATAACTCGCCCCTAATTGACCTAGCGCTACCAAACTTGGTATACTTACGCATCTTGGGGAGAAGGTGTGCCGCATACCAAAACCAGGTCACTACGACTTTTATTTGACCTTGACCCTGACCTTGACCTTGATCATATTTCCCTTCCGCTCTATAACTCGGCCCCTAATTGACCTAGCTCTACCAAAACTTTGTATACTTACACATCTTGGGGAGAATCTGTGTCGCGTACCAAAACCAGGTCACTGTGGCTTTTATTTGACCTTGACCTTGACCTTGATTATATTTCTTTTCCGCTCTATAACTCGGCTCCTAATTGACCTAGCGCGCGCCAAACTTGGTATACTTACACATCTTGGGAGAAGGTGTGTCCGGCTACCGAAACCAGGTCACTGCAACCTTTATTTGACATTGACCTTGACCTTGACCTTTATCATATTTCCCTTCCGCTCTATAACTTGGCCCCTAATTGACCTAGCGTGACCAAACTTCGTATACTTACACATCTTGGGAAGAACACGGGGGATACATACATGTAGTTGGCGACAACTGCCCTTTCTAGTTTCAAATTGCGTCCTTAAAAAAAACTAAAGCTTACAAATTTTAAAAAAGAAAAGAAACTAAAATGGACAAATATTTCACAGCACATATTCACACAAAAAAATGGAAAAAAATAAACCCGCACGCTGACATTCGCTTGTTTTGCATTTGCCCCGCAGCGGAACGACACGTCGATGCTGGCGCAGTTTTTCCACGCCGACGAAGAGCTGAACCAGATCGCCGCCGAGCTGGACAGCTTCGACGGACGCAAGGACCCGGAGCGATGCACGATGCTCGTCAACCAGCTGAGGCAATGCCAGGACAAGGTAGGCGGCGGCGGCGGCCGGCGGCAGCGGGAGAGGGGGGTGAAGTGGAGGTTTGTGGGGGAGGGGCAGGGGGTGAAGACCTAAGGGGCAGGGGAGTGGAAGGGACAAGGATCCGGAGCGATGCACGATGCTTATCAACCAGCTGAGGCAATGTCAGGACAAGGTAGGCGGCGGCAGCGGCGGCGGCGGCGCAGCGGGAGAGGGGGGTGAAGACGGGAGGATGAAAGGGACAGGGGTTTATGGGGGAAGGGCTGTGGTGAAGGGTACAGAGGTTTGTGGGGCAAGGGACAGGGGCGGTGAAGACATGGGATTGAAGGCGACAGAGGTTTGTGGGTGAGGGGTGCGGGTGAAGACAGGGGAATGAAGGCGACAGAGGTTTGTGGGTGAGGGGTGCGGGTGAAGACAGGGGAATGAAGGGGACAGGGGTTTATGGGGGAGGGGCAGGTCAGAGAAATGGATGGGACATGGGTTTATGGAGGAGGAGCGGGGGAATGGGGAGGTCCACGGCAAGGGAGGGTTGAGGGTCAGTCTTTAGAATGAGTGGAGGTTCGGAGTTCTGTAGGTCCATAGGAAGGATCCATAGAAAGGATGCTTTGGGAGAGTCCATAGATAACATCAGGAGTCTATCAATATTGATAGACTCCTGATAAAATCAAGAGCGTATTAAGAAGGAGAGCGTTCAACGGTGAAATGCTGAAATCATGTTGCAGTATTAGTCAAATTAAGAAACTTTGCCCGTTTTATTTTGATGATTCTTGATTGTCAAAATAAAACGGGTAAGGTTTACTAATTTCACTGAAACTATAACATGGTTTTTGCATTTCACCGTTGTACGCTCTCCTTCCTAATACGCTCTTGATAACATGGAAATCCATAGGGAGGATCCACAGAAAGGCTGCATTGGGAGAGTCCGTAGATAACATGGAAATCCATAGGGAGGATCCATTGACTATGGACCCTTCTTATGGCCATCCACCCCTTCTAATGGCACTCTACATGGACCTCCACTCCCTCTATACGAGGGAGAATGGGTCCATATGGATGTCCATAGTAATGCATGGAGGGGGTGGAGGTCCATAGGTGAGATCCGTAAGGGGATGAACTCTATAGGTAGGGTCCACGAAAGGAATAGAGGGTCCACGGAAGGATTGTAGGGTTCATGGAAGGAGTGGAAGGTCCACGGAAGGAGTAGAGGGTCCACGGAAGGAGTGTGGGGTCCAAGAAAGGAGTAGAGGGTCCAAGAAAGGAGTAGAGGGTCCAAGGAAGGAGTAGAAGGTCCAGGAAAGGAGTGGATGTTCGTAAGGAGGGTCCACCGGGAGGGCCGAAGGAAGAGTCGATGGAGGGAGTGGAGGTAAATAGAAGGGGCAGGGCAAGGAGGTGGGGTATGTGTGGGAGGGGCTAGCTGGCTACTTGAGGACTGGCTGTCTGGAGATTGGATGGCCGTTACATGGTTGTTCAATGATGGTCATGTTATCTGTCTGAGAGCCCGCCTGAAGGAAGCTTGAACCACATCGTTACTGTAAACGACTGTGGCAGCGATGCACGCTAATGCAATACTCTAGTGCGCCGTGCTGCAACGTTGCGCATCGGTTCCAGGTCGGACGCATTTACGCAGCTCTGCCAATTAAATTGGATCGAACAGAAAGCTCTGTTGTCTGTACATATGTTGCCAGTACTAACGAGTACTGTCAAAGCAGTAACTGAGAAAGATAGTTATATATATATATATATATATATATTATTGTAACGCCTTAAGATGAGTTCACATAAAAAATGTAATAATATACCATACGGAATAGTGAGAATACCATACTTAGACGATCCTCTGTTACAGCAATTCCTTATTGTATTATATTTTCGTCTGACGTCAGTCAGCATAAGTCAAGTCTGCTTGTTGATTCATGTTCCAAAATCTAACTCGCCTCGCTCTCATATTTTCCGCCGCCTAATTCATACCCCTCGTATATCACGAAATAACTGCGTTGCAATTAATTAATTCATGGTGGTTTTAGGGGTCTAGAGCTTACATTATTAAGTCTGGGTGTCTTGTATGCACCGCACATAGCTGATATTCGTCTCGGTGAAGCAGAGTGCGCAGTGTAGTGGAGAAGGAGAGAGAGCCAGTTAAGTGCCTCGTGCTCGTGAACACGAACGATGGCTTCATTAGGGTTAGCTTTCCCTCGGCGTACGATGCAGCAGCAGCAACTCGCGGGCACCGTGGTAGCGTGCGTGCGGGGCGGCGCGAGAGCCATGCAAGAGAGAACAGCCGGTCAGTCTAGCGCAAACCGACAGCGTCAGTGCGACACGTTCGTGCGCAGACGCGTGGACGTGAGATGCGAAGTGACAGTGCGACGGATATTTGCAGCCGCTACATGCAGTGTAGTATGTAGTCTGCTTTGCCCGTAAACCCGTCTGCTACCAGCGCAATAAGATTTGAGAAGGTTACGCCGGTGGGTGGTGAAAAAAACGCGTTCTCGTTCTCAGGGGAATATTTGTTATTCCACAGCGATAAAAATTGGAAAGGCTTTCATTCTTCCAGACTGCATGAAGCAAAAGGGTTTGAAGTAGAAATCTGTCGGTGTTTTTTTTTAACGGGTCGATCGAGTTATGGCACGCTGGTAATACTTTTTGATCCGCCTAACGCCGTATGGCCCTTAGACCTCTTATATCTTAAAGCCAATCACAACCAGCACCGTTGTTACATGAATAAACATGCTTAAATAACAATAGATGCTTACACATTAAGCCCGGCGCACATTGCCGAACATTTTGCTCAAAAACATTATCGTAGCAATGTTCCATGAAATGTTCGGCAGTGTGCGGTGAAAAAAGTCGCTGAACATTTGTTCCGAACAATGTTTCTGAAGATCGGAAATGTTTGATATCTCGAACATTGTAATTTGTTCGTTGAATGTTCGTCAATGTGCGCTGAATGTCGAACAATTCTAGGATCATTTGTAAATGCCTATCACGCCGATCACGTGACTCTTTACAACACAGCTACTAGACGGCGCCACGAGGTAGTTCGCTGCAAAATGTTCGGCAATGTGCGCTGAGCAATTTTAACCTGCAAAACAAAAACAAAAACAAAAACAAAAACAAAAACATTTGTTCGGACGAACATTTGTTCGGCAAAATGTTCGGCAATGTGCGCCAGGCTTTACCGCGCAAAGCTGTCGTAGTAAACTATAAAGTGCCAGCGTCATAAACCTATTAATTATTAATTATTATATTATCGTGGCGGGCTTTACTATGGCCTAGCATAAACATGAAATAGACCATAGGCATATTTTCAGCTTTGCTTCTCCAGCACTGTTCGCACAAAAAATAGATCCGTCTCGCAGAATATTTGCGACACGTACTCCATGATCATGCTCTGACGTAGGAACATCGTTCGACGGTTTTTTATATATGTCGTGTATCGTGTTCATGACTCCATTCAAATGTCAGTGAAATGTAAGGATATATATATAGAAGGATGTATGATGTACGTATAACTGCTTGCAATTCCCTTCTAGACTCGATATGGCATTCTTACACTCTCGTAGGTTCTCAATATGCATATTTATGGGGGCTCTCTGCTGATATTTTGAATTTAAATGCGATGGCCACGTTTGCATTTTACGATTGTGTGGCATGTGTATCTTTTGTTTTGAACCAGTAGCCTTTATAAACTCTTAAAACTTGTCTGGTAGCAGTAACCTATGGCACAAGATTTGATAGGGTATTTATTGTATATTGTATTTGATAGAACAATAATATTATTGAACGGTAATATACAAAACTATACAACAATAATATTATTGACAATATAATACATTCATAACTTTGTTTGATAGGACAATGTTAGATATTTGACGAAAATAAATACTTTTAGTGTGAAGGGTTGATCGGATAGGTTTTTACCAGGTCAGTCATATTACAACGAGCAAACTTTTTTCGAGCCCATCCTTGTATGTATAAAAGTATATAAGTGAAGACACGTCACTTGCTTTGTTAATTCTATTGGCTGTATCTCGGTATGCTGTGACAAATATCACGAAGCACGCACGCACGCGCACAGACCACGCTGAAGAATGCCGACCTAGTATGTCTGAAGTGGGTCAGTGGGGAAGCGATAGCGCGTAGCATTTCTTTCTGCACGCGGATACTCGAACAGCAGATCGAGTATGTTGTAGATTGGTGCACGTAGCCCCTGATGATCACAGGCACTTGGAGCGTTTCAATAAAATATAATGCTAAATAAATACGAAATCGATTTACTACCAATGTTTCTATACTCGGTCTCTTTCACCTATTATTGCCGACAATTTCCTGAAAATGCCGTCCAAATGCTCATCTGCAACAAACGATGGCTGCCGCTGCACACTGACACATAAATATATAGTAAAATATATATAACGCTCCAAGTGCCTGTGCGGATGCTGTGTCTCGCGTGCGTATCATCACTCATACACGCGTAATGATAGACTGGTACTCGCTCCCACCTCGATTACTCGATGGTCCCACCTAAGCCGATAGGTGGGACCGGGTACCAGTCTAGCGTAATGACCGACCACACAGCAATGTTGCACGCAGCCCTTGTTCCACGCGACGCTGCTGAGCACTGTGTTTCTCATGGCAGGGCTGGCTTAAAGATAACGAGAAATCAGAAAACGTCTGCGCGTGGCCTTAGCTCGGCGTTAATTAGGTGTGACTATTTAGGGCAATTTGTCTGCAATATGATTACTGTTGCCGAAAGTACCATCATAGCAACTGTTAGTATATGCTGATCAGTATTGCAATGGTATTGCAATATTGTTGCCAAATTATCAAACAGACTTGACACTGTACTAGGTATTACATGTTATATATTATTAGGCAATGAACGTTGTAAATAGGGGGTGTTGATCCTGCGTGTTCCTATGCGTTACGTAATGAACGATGAATGTTGTAAACACTAGTGTAAATCGTTTGTTCTTATGCGTTAGACAATGAACAATAAACGTTGTGAACAGTGATGTTGATCCTGTGTGTTGTCATGTGTGTAGGTGCAGAACACTGAACACTAAACAGCAGTATTAATCTGTTGGGTAATAAACAATGAACATTGTGAACCGCACTGAGCAGTGTTGATCGTGTGTGTTCTCGTTTGTGCAGGTGCTGAACACTGTGAACAGTATGATGGCCGAGGCGATCCCCACGCACCGCGCGAACAGAGACTTCCGTGTAAAGTTCCCGGACGATGTTCTGCAGGACAACCTGTTCGGACAACTCTGGTTCGGAGCGGAGGTATGGTGTCATTACATTTCGCTGTCCCATCTCGCTGTTCCATCTCACAGCCTTATATCTCACAGTCCAATCTCACAGACCCACTGCCATTGTTGCATGGGGAGACAATTTCCCCCGGGCGTAGAGGGAGGGTGCTGCTACGTGGCAGCACTAGTCACTTCGTAACTCTCGCTCAAGATAGCATCGCCGTGTGAATAATATTATAATATTAATATGCCGATTACATCGATATACATCGGCACTTGTTATCAATTCACTTTAAAAATGGTGACCTTCCCTGGTTATCTAGCAATAAAATTGAGAAACTAATCGAGATAGTTCTGGATTTGTATATAAATTGGTTATATCAGCATGTAAGAATTTAACAGAACCGCGTACGAAATTATACGACTATTATCATACATAGTTCCCTGTGACGTAATTCACTGGCGAGCACAGCTACAGGTAACAACTGCCACTGTACTAAACCGTAATATAATTTTATTAGGTGCCTAAACTTTAAACTAAAGCCAGCTCGACCAGGAAGAGCCAGCAATGAGACTAACATCTGTTTTAGACACCGTGTTCACCGTATGCCGGGAGACACGTACTGATATACTATGTACTATGATAATACCAGGATGGATAATAAATTAATAGATATCTATAATTATTAATTAATTAATTAATTAATAATGTATAATCTATTAATATTATAATATTATTCACACAGCGAGAGGTACGAAGTGACTAGTGCTTCCACGTAGCGGCACCCTCCTTCTATGCCCGGGGGAAATTGACACCCTGCCGCATGGACTTGGGGCAAAGCCTAGGGGAAACGCTGGGTCTAACATTGATTGTTTCTGGTCTAATGTTGACTGTCACACATCTGTCATCAGCGGTCTAACGTTGACTGTCACACATCTGTCATCAGCGGTCTAACGTTGACTGTCACACATCTGTCATCAGCGGTCTAACGTTGACTGTCACACATCTGTCGTTGCCGGTCTAACTGACTGTCGCGCATCTGTCATCAGCGGTCTAACGTTGACTGTCACACATCTGTCGTTGCCGCTCTAACTTTGACTGTCACACATCTGTCATCAGCGGTCTAACGTTGACCATCGCGCATCTGTCGTCGTCAGTCTAACCGTGATTGTCGCGCGTCTGTCGCCACCGTTCTAACGTTGACTGTCACCGTACGTCTGTCGTTGCGTCCTGCAGTGTCTCGCCGCCGGGTCGAGCATCATGAACCGGGAGGCTGAGAGCTCGAGCATGCGTCCACTCGCCAAGGCCGTCACGCGGAGCCTCGAACACCTGCGCCACCTGCTGAGAGACCAGGCGCTGCGCAACTGTGGCTTGTACAGCGAGCGGGTAAGCTGCGATGGAGGCGCGAGCGATGCGTCTACCGACGTCCGATCACGGCTGTGTAGCGTGGGTTATCCGCTAACTACGACTTCGCTGGTTCAGTGCCTACATCTAACCTCGGCTGTACAATGCTGGTTACCCACTCGCCACACCTAGGCTGTATCGCGTAGGTTGATATATGTCTGTGGCTTGCTTTTCGCAATCTGCCGAAATTTTATCACATCACCATTGCGGGTCACCATTGCGGGAGCCATAACTCGAATTTTCTAGTTTAGTCTTTTACAGTGCCACGTTCCGGTGGAATCACTGCGAATCGAACAGAACACTCAAAAGTTATGATGTAATATTTCCCCGGTGATTTCCCCGGAGTGGTAATTTCCCACCAATATTATTTCGGCCCGGGGAATGACTAATGCAAGTAGTTCTGGAAACCTGCGTCGCACAGCTGAGGTTACATGTAGGTAAACAGAACCAGCATGGGTTTGTAGACTGGGTAACCCACGTTATATAGTCGAGGTTATATAATTATGTAGGTAGGGAGTCATCCGAAGTGTGGTGAGTGGGTGACCTGAGTTATACAGTCGAGGTTAGATGTAGGTACAGAATCGGCCGAGGCATAGTTAGTGGGTAACCCACCTGCCCACGTTATACAGCCGTGGTTAGATGTAGGTACGAAATCAGCCAAGGTGTGGTGAGAGGGTAACAGAATTTGTACAGTCGATGTTATATGTAGGTACGAAATCATCCGATGTGTGGTGAGAGGGTAACAGAATTTATACAGTCGAGGTTAGATGTAGGTACGAAATCATCCGATGTGTGGTGAGAGGGTAACAGAATTTATACAGTCGAGGTTAGATGTAGGTACGAAATCATCCGATGTGTGGTGAGAGGGTAACAGAATT